CTTTGAAAGCTATTTAATATCTTTAATCTTGTGGATGTTTTGAAACGTAATGTTAGGAGCGTTTGGATCAGAATACGAGTCATGAAGGTATGAGTACTAACACTAATGTGGTAGATGATGCAATCGGTAAAGTATTGGGTCATGATCATGGTTATGTAAGAGGATATGGACATGGAGTGACAAAATCAAAGTTTTTGTCTATGAGTCAAAAGGATAATACTATTACTTTTTTTCCAGAAGAATGCGACCGAATGACATCAGAAATGACTGAGTTGAAGTATTTGGTATCTTCCCTACTAGCAGATAAGGTAAAGTTACTTAGTGTTTGGTATTTTAAATGATTCTTTCAGACTCCATCATTTCTATACTTTGTACATATAGGCCAAGTCAAGCGAACAAAATTCCAATCATACTGGAAATGTACCGACGTCAGCACATGTTCCACCAGCAAACTTAAGTTCTCCACCGGTATGTTTAGTATTATATGTAAGTTTGTATTGAACTAGTACATAAATTTATTACTCTTTGAGATTTCCTTTATTGGTGAAATTAGAGTGTTACCATCAATGATAATGCTCCACGAAAGTGCATGTTGCTCGACTGGATTGGTTCTGGAAAAGTAATTGCTGAAGGAAGATGGTCTTCCAATGATCCATCAGTACTTGTGCATCACATCCCTCTCGGTCCAAATGTTGTACGAGTGTGGGTTGATACAGTGAAAAAACCAAATTCGTATTTATGGAGGCCCACATCTGATATGATGGTTATTGATAATGCTCTAGGTACTACGATTGCTTGGCCTGCTGATAAAGTAAAAATATAAATATGTAAGTAAATTTTTATTTGAGTTTAATTTCGTTTAGTTTATGTGGAAGCAAAACTAAAGTTTGATCTTACATATTTGTGTTTTGTTTTTTTTTAGGTGGGGATATTTGGCACTCATTTGCAGTACTTTTTGGGTCATGTTTCTAATTATCTATTCAGTTTTTCAGAATAAATGTCTGAGCTACATTCATGTATTTTATTTAGCTTCATATATAGTTTGGGATCTAGACTTAATATATGAACTTTTTATGATGCGTACGTTCTTGAAATTTGAAGATTTTGTATTTATGTACTTTTCAGAATATGAAATTAGGTTCCCTTTATGCTTAATTATGAAAAATATCTCAAATTAGGTTCCTTTTTGGGAATGTGAATATTATGCTGCAAATGTAAATAAAAAAAATGCTATGAAAGCATTTCTATAGTATTTTTGCAAAGTTAAAAAAATTTTGTCACACCACTTTATGACAGCTATTAAAAATTAATAATAACATAATTATGTAATATTTAATAGCGTTTAGCATAATTACAAAAAAACGCTATAAAAGTCAGAAACTTTCCATAACATCGGCTACTGCATCGTTTGAAAAAACGTTATGAAATCTTTATAATATCGTAAAAACGATGCTATATAAAATGCTATGGAATATCAACTATAGCGTACATGACAAGCTATAAAACGTCTTTTAAAAGCTATATAAAGTTTATAATAGCGTTTTCATTAATGCTATGTAAAGAATTTATAACATTTAAAATATGTAATTAGAATTGAACGTTGATCATAGCATGAAAAAAAGCTATGGAAAGTCTCAGACTTTTAATAACATCGCCTACTATCGCATCTCAAAAACGCTATAGAAAGTCTATGATAACGTTTTTTCGATGCTATCGTA